CTTGAGGATAGTATAAACGCGGATAATATTGCAAATGAACTAGATATAGAATAGAATAGAGCAAGTATTCAATAACGTCAGTGAGTCACTCGAACAGAATAAAACGAAACGCCTGGAATCCGAAAAGAGTGCCCTAACTAGTATTCTATCTACCGTTGAGGTCCTAACTAATATTGATTTCCGCTTGCAAAGATTGGACAGATATGATAATCAGAAAATTTGTCGAATAAAAGTTATGTTTTCAAGAAAGGAGGATGCAGTAATCCTGTTGAACGAAAAAAGAAATATCATTGAGTAAATGCCCAGTCTACGTATTTACAGGGATCAAACCAAAAATAAAAGACAGTAATTTTTCAAAATTAAAGATCAACTTGAGTAATTCAATGATGCTTCTGAAACTATTAAGTATATTAGAGGGATTCCAACCATCGTAAATAAAGGAAATTTTTAGTTACACACTCTAAATATTTGCATTGGGACTGATATAATATCTGCCAATGCACAAAGTTTTATAGAGTACAAGGATCAACAGCAAGGCCTATGCAACTATAATCCAGGTTACTAATGTTTTCAGAAGCAGGAACGACAGACAATTTTGCTGATGTTGAGTTGTTTATCCAGAACTACAACTTAGTGAGATGTGATTCCAGTAGTCGTCACACAGGTGGAGAACTGTTATATGTTTGAAAGGACATTAAAGCGATGAAAACTAAACAAATCATCATGTATATGAACTGCTGGAGCATAGTAATTAAATTAATGTATAACTCTTTCAACCTCAATCTTTGTGTGATGTATCAATCCCCAAATGCAAGCCATGCTAAATTTCTGAGTGCCTTCGAGGAAATCTGTGATGAAATATCTGCCAAACATAAACGTCAGCTGATATTGGGAGATTTCAATATAGACCTGCTAGGGGAGTTTTTATAAGCATAAATTCTTTGATATAATCACTCAATATGGATTGGAACAAATCTTTAAGAAACCGACTAGGTATACTGCAACAAGTTAGACTGTTAGATCTGTAATCACATATTTTGAAAATGTAATTGCTCAGGTACATAGTGAACCAAAAATCACCGATCATGACCTCAAATCTGTTAAACTCTATATATGGAAAAACAGCACTATTTCAAAACAGGAAAGCTATGGAATTCATTGCCTGAGGACGAATTTCCAAGAACTTATAATCCCCAAAAGTTAAAAAAAACTCCAACACCTACCTCTTCTCCCTACTTGGTACGCACGATGTTTTCGAACATTATATACCTCTTCTCCCTACTTGGTACGCACGATGTTTTCGAACATTATAGGAATTCCCTTTCGTGCGCACCAAGCGATAAAACAATGCTGACCATGGTATGACCATGAAGTCAAACAAAAGGCTATTAATGGTGATAAAGCATACAAAAGGTTTAAAAATGCTAGTATAGAAGAGACAAACTCTGTGACAGGTAAAGTAAAACTTAAGAAATGAAGTCACAAATTGCTTAAAATGGAAACACATTCAAATCACTTTATGAAAAAATCTTTCAGAATCTGTGAACACGAAACGTCGCGTGTAGAGAAATCAATATCACCATGTTGAATCTCATCAAAAGTTGCTATGGAAATGCATTCACAATTGTTCTGTATCTCTAATAATAACGTAGAAAAAAAAAAGATTTTCCGAAAATTCAATGAAAAACGAAAAAAAAATCTTTGAGAATTTTCGAAGGCCGTTGGTATGACTCTCGGAATGCACAATTTTTTTCCCATTCAACCGAATTTGTATCTCCTTCCGTTTACGAGATCCCCATGCTGTGTAACCTTATCTTAGTTAGAGTCACTGGATGTTATTAGTTTGATAAGAGTTCGGACACAAAAATGACAACGGTTAGGGTTTTTGGATGTTTAGATTTATTAAGTTACACACCTTGCATTGTGACAAGAGTACCATAGTCGTCCCGCGCTTTTTCATTCAAAACTGTTTGAATTTGACAATACATTTTATAAACGTCAGAATTGAAATAAAATTTCATAATTATACATTCGAGATGAAATCAGCTATGGAAATCACTTGCTGTGTAGTAAATTGTGCTAATTCTGAAGAAAACTGATTCAATTTTCCGAAACAAATATCAACCATTCGCTTATGGAAAGAAGATATGAAATGGCCTGGGTGCAAAATCAATTTGAAGACGAGCGAGATTTGTTAGGTACTCATTGAAATTCACTTCCTATAACAGCATCTGATTAGAATGAAACTATATTTTAGGCCCATTTTCAAACAGATGATTTCAAAATCTGTTTGAGAGAATCTGCTGTTTCATCAATTCACAAAGCAGACGATTTCAAGAACAAAATTCCATTATTATCATCACACAAAATACAAAACAAAATAATCATGGAGAAAGAGGAAATTATCGCAAAATTACGTAATGAAATTGAGAATTTGAAAACGAAACTAAGAAAAAGCAAGTAAACTACAAAGTGATATATTATTGAATGGCGTTTTTGGTGCCAACCAAATATAAAATTCAACTGTGAAAAGTGAATAGTTATTTATGAATCAAGGGAATTATTTATGTGCTTTAATAACGCTATAGAGGTTATCGTTTTGGAGGTATTTTTTATATCGATCCATGTTACTCAGCTCCTAGGGCGCTAAGTGAAGTTGCTGAGAACTTTACAAAACCAAGTATTTGGTAGGTCTAGTCAAAATAAATTACTTTTTTCCTATAAAATGTTCATGATTTGTTCTCTGTATTTCAACAACCTGTATCTCCGAAATGAAGCAATTCCGGACACAAGCTTATATAGACTTTATTTCTTATAATTGTTTCAGGAATACTTCACTTGAAAGTACCTATTTTACTTCCTGTATATTGAGAATACCTACCTCTAATTTAATATAAATAACTTCATGTTTCATACTTATCACTAGAGTACAGTTTCACATACAATAAGGAATTATACCTATAAGTGCATCCATATGTGTATATTTTCTAATATTAAAATGTTGTTACATGCATTCTTTTCATTTATATAACAGTTGTTCTGCTAGAAGTGTATCACTATAAACTGAAGTGGGTGTTTGTACCCTATACCCATTGTCCATCTACGGCTGATTGATTTGACAGAAAATATAACCTCTAAAATCGTATTTGACAATCAGGCGCTACTAGGGAAATTGAAAAGACAAAGAGCAGAATATATGTCTTATCCTTTTATTCACTTAAACCATTATATTATAGAAAATAGAAAAGGACAAAAGTTCTGCTGTGTCCGAACTCTTATCAAACTAATACCATCCAGTGACTCTAATCTTAGTCACACTGTATTGAGTATTCTTCACTCATATATATCAATAGTTTTACCTGAGAGTTCACTTCATTCCACCATGTCTTCGGCATGCTGCCAAGAATACACGCCTCTATGATAAGCAGTAAATAATATACAGTGTGGCTCACTTCTAATGAAAGTACCCTTGTTGTAACTTAGTCAGTCAGTTATTAACTTTAGGTATATCACGCTCAGGTAGATTCCAGACTGAGGTATGGTGTGTGTCTTTGGGGCCACTCCACAATGGCAAAAAATGTGTTTATCACCCAAAAACGTATTATTCGCTGTATAGGTGGGGTGTCTAAGAGGCAATCATGCAAGAATCTGTTTGTTCAGTATGACATTCTACCATTGACATGCATTTTAATTTTCGAAACATGTGTATATATATTTCAAAACAAACATAATTTCATAGTTGATAAGAATATTCACGATATCAATACTGTTCAGTATGACATTCTACCATTGACATGCATTTTAATTTTCGAAACATGTGTAGATATATTTCAAAACAAACATAATTTTATAGTTGATAAGAATATTCACGATATCAATACTAGAAGTAAAAACTTATTTCATATACCATATGCCAAATATAAAATAACTTCTGTTGATCCAAACCATATAGGACCAAAAATGTTCAACCATCTACCTGATGTTTAAAAAAATATTGTATCCATTTCCTTGTTCAAACGAAAACTGTTGATGTTTCTTTCTTGAAAAATGCTTTTATAGTGTAGGAGAATTTTTCTCCTCATGAGTCTTTCGACTTTGACATTGACTATTCCTATATAATACTTGTATTATTCGGAAAATAAATGATTATTATTATTATTATTATTAACTAACGTAATTGTTGAGTAGAGATTCTGGAATTTGCAGGGCGCCAGAGATTCACTCTATGACCAAGTGGGGTTATCTTCAGTGACATAAACTGCTCGCCTTTGCCATGGAACCACCTAAATTTCCGGCAAATGATATTAGGAGACAAGATAGGTTAAAAACAACTTCGGATTCGAAATTTTCCGGTTTTGAAGATTTTGATTTTGTCTCACTTTCCATGGAAGCACCCCCGTATTTTACGTAATTATTGAGTAAGGATTCAAAAATTTGCAGCAAAAGTAGAGTCAAACGATACAGTGAACAACGTAAGATACGTGGGTGGTGCTTCCATGAAAGGTGAGACAAAATGTAATTTTACAGGGCTGTAAATTTTCCTGGATAAATATGAATAGTTAGTGATTATATGGAATTTAGGAGAAACTCATAAGAAAATGAAGATTCCACCTGCTTGATTAAATTAGACAGTAATTGCCTTTGTAATTTCGTTTCTTTTTTTTTCACTCACCATAAAAAACATTTATTATTAATATTATCATTGTATTATTCCATATATGATATATTGAGACTGCGAGGGATGCGAAAAAATCGACAACCTCACTGATCTTTCACACACTGTTTGTGCTCAAGGCACAGGGGGCCATAGTGAAACAACAAACAAATATTCATGAATTTTTCAGTGAGAATGGCTGTTCGCGCTGTTTCTAGTAGTTTTGCTATAACCATCATATTTATAATTCTCCAGTTATAAACCTTTCTAGCTCTAATACTCAAAATTCTTGATTGAGACAACATTATCATGTTTTTGAGCTCTACTCTAACCCTCAAATACTAACCCAAAGTCGCTAAGCTTGATTACATATGGATCCGGTTTGATGATTATTATATTGCCTGGTTTCACATCTCCATGCAAGATGTACCTTCCATGAAGGTAGTTGAGAGCTGCCATTATTTGATTCATAATACCCTGAACTATTTTTTCAGAATACAATTCTCCATTAGCCATAACTTTGGTTATACTACCGAATTCTGAGTATTCCATTCCTAGATACATGTACCTATAACATAAGAAATAATTGTTGGGTGAGTATCTTGGTGAAGATAAAGCAAAAAAGGTCAACAATGTTCACTAAGTAATCTTCTAGAGCACATATACAGTCCTGCATGACCAGTGTATTCAAAAAAACACATAAACAACACTATACTGTAAAATCAACAGGCCATTTTCATTAGCCAAACTCCAAGTCCAATTGAATAATAGGCCAATACAATTACATTCTATGGAGACGGTCGCTGGAAATAAAATAAATAAATAATCGCTTAATTGACGCCGAATAAGGTTTGCACTGTCCTAGAAGCGAGTTTACGTAAGGACACGAGAAAAAAAAGAGATTTTCGGACTTCTTCAGTTTTTTGCTTATTGTTCAAAAACGGTACCTCAGCAAAAATTTTACAATTACAAGAAATGACGGACGTTGAATTCTGCGTTGATTGTATCACCAACACTATGGATTCGGCTCAGAAATACAAGTGAAAACGCCGGGCAAAAATAGACAATGTGCACCACTTTTGCCAACAAATCAGCTCAAGTGAGTTTTCGACAATTCTAAATGGAAAAACTCGATTCGATGAAAGTTATAGATCATTAAATTATGCATTCAGAGAGTAGTTAATTAATCAGATTTGGTAGAACATAGATAGACAATTTGATTGTCATCTAGGAAAATACAAAAATTACAAAATTCATGCTTATGACATTTGGTATCCGCAGAAGAGAACGTATCTCGCACAACTTGAATGATGATAGTTGCTAAATATGGCCAACAGACGGATGTTACGTGCCGCTGTTTTTTTTGCAAAAAATAATTTTCAATAAAGCACCCTCATATTTGCACAGAAAAATTATCTATTGCTCCGATAAACATAACCAAAATATCCGATATAAAGGAACCCTCCCGTCGCCAAAACGTTTAGACTAAAATTCTTTAGGCGCAGCTATACCTATCAAATATGTTCAATTTATAATCAGGTCACTACCATGTTTAAAATTTATAGTTTGCAAAGATTCAAAAAGGCAAACATGAAAGATTTGTTTTTAATGCATTTTCAAAGTGCCGTAATTTGGTAACTACTTGATCTGCAGAGCTCCGGTTAAGTTGAAATTGTCACACATTTAATGCTCTCCAAAACTGTGGACCATGGCTTTCGTCGTAAAATGCATTGTTTAGGAGATATAGATGGAAAACTGAAGGTCCGAAAATTTCGCGGTTTTTCGTGTGCTACACTTTTTCCACAACTTTTAGAGTTACAAACTTGGATGTACATACATCACCGTCCTAATGGGTCCAAACAACAATCTAAAAAATGACAAAAACATCATGTTATGTTAGTTTATTGTCGATTTTGACTGGCGTACAATCAATCCCATACAATTATGGTAGAACTGAAGACAAAATACAAACAAGAATAAATGTTTCATTAATACATCAGGTAGCTATTATGGAAATTAGATTTCAAGTGGCGATATTGAATTTACTTGAAAGATTATTTTGTGTGATTTATATAATATTGATTGTGTACTTCTTTAATTTCTAATACGTATTATGAACTATGTATCACTATTTATCTGTTGCTTTTAGGTATGTATACCTACATACGTTTCATGTTTTGAGTTAGTGACTAATCTCCTTAAAACAAATCACGAATGAAATTTCTTCTATTGAAACTTCTTTTATAAGGAAAATCCATGATCCATGGGCCACTAGCAAAAATTCATCATAATGAAATGTTTCAGTATTGCTTTATCATTTCTGGGAACCCATTTTTATAGTATCATATACATCATTTTACAGAACGAATTCAATGAAATAAAAAAATACAGGGTGTTACATTGAAAAAATATAAGTTTGTGTGGCATCTCCAAAGCCGTACTCCGAAAAAAAAAAATTGAATCTGCCACTGGATTCTGCGTCAAATTTTCTGTTAGACGTAGTTCTCAGCACATCATTATTTCTAATAACTTCGTAGATAAAGAAGGTGTCCAAAAGAATAGATGTTCAAAATCGCCCTGTATTTTATGTATAAACGGAAACAACTATGCGGAAATCTGATAGTTAGTTGACTAGATTTTTTTCCTCAGTAGGGATTTTTTTAACAACCTGTTTTCTGCCATTCATTAAAGGATCATCAATATTCTTTCTTCGACAATTTAATTGTTTGAAGTTCAACACATGAAGTGTTCTAGTAAACGGAACATTACTGGACTTAGTGGCTCCTAGGTAAGATACAATGGGCCACTAGGCCTAAGTGTCATCGGAGACATCGGTCAAATGAGCGTACAAGCGGGGTATAGTGTTTAGTGGGTATACCCTGGTCAGAGTCAGGGGACTTCCATACTATCATATGGGGGATTGAGCTCATATGATGTGCATTAAGGATTTCAACCACCTCGACAAAAAAGTGGCTCTTTATGACTTCACTTTTTTTTGGAAATTCTTCAACAAAACACAATTGAAAATGTGAAATAATAGTTATGAAATATGTTTGGATGTGTTCGTCTTGAAAAACATATTTGGTCTATGGGCTATCCAAGATATCAGTATGATGTAGGGATACTTTCCTTTATATGATAGTTATATAGGTATCTAACTCTAAAAACTATGAATGCCATCTCCTAGTGGAAGCTAATAGAAATCACTGCCAATTCAAGATGGCGCATGGTGACCCTTGGAATAAACGGGCACATCTCTGCAAATATTCATCTGATATTGATATAATTTATTGAAATGAAAGATCGGAACATTTTTCAATATTCCTACAGTTGTTAGTCTTGTTCTGAATTGTTGTTCTAAAATTGTTCTTATTCATCATTCGGTTGCCCCCTAACAAGCAACCCTCAAAAGTTTTAAACTCACATTATTACATAGAAAAGTTCCTTTGCTTATCATCACCCTAATAGCACACAACGTCCTAGGGACGTCCCTATTTGGTACAATTCACGTCCGAATGTCCCGAACCAAAAATAAGTGTCATTGGGACGTCCCATCCTGTACATCTCATGCAATGTCCGAGGAAGGACGTCCACGGCATGTCCCAGCTGGTACATCATTCCAAATGTCCTAGGAATAGCATCCATTAGACGTCCCACGTGGTACATATTGTAGAATGTCCATGCAAGGACGTCCTTGGCATGTCCCTGATGGAATATGATTTCGAACGTTCCTTTAGGAAAATCCATCGGATGTCCCGAGTAGTACATATTCTGGCATGACTTCAGATCTTATATAATGTCCCTTCTAGAAAACCATTGAATGTCCCTGATGGGACATTCCTTCAAATATATCTGCACAGACGCCCTTAATATTTCCAGGATCGTATAACAATCGAAATGTCCCTTAGGGACGTCCTTCGAATGTCCATTAGGAATATCCGTCGGATGTCCCAATTGGTTCATGAACTGTACTCTTTCAATGTCCTAGAAATAGCGTCCTATGGACGTCCCAGTCGGTACTTTCATTATATTGTCCCTGCGAGGACGTTAACTTACACCTCGCCGACGAATGATTGCTTGTAGGCTATAACTACTCCTCGTCAATGTCCTTCACGTAAGTCCATTGGACATCCTTGGGACACTTTTTGGGGACCTTCTACGGACCATCAACTCAACTGGATGTCCTCATCAGTTATGCAAGATCTGGTCCTAAAGGGACCCAGAAAAATTCAAATTCAGGAATAATTCGTACGTCCCTGGGACATCCTATGGACATCCAATTGATATCCCTAAGCGTTGCTGATATGTTGTCCTATGGATGTCCTAAGGATGTCCTCTGTAGTGCTTGATGAGGAATACTGTAGGATTCAGATAGTCGATAGTTGTCCCAGGGACATCCCTCAAGGACGTCCCTAGTTGGTCCTCAAGTGGGACATTTGTGCGTCCAACAGACGTCCAATGGACGTCCACGGTACCAAATTCGAACGTCCTATGGACGTCCTGAATGTCCCGACAGGACATCCAAAGGATATCCATGGGACATAAGTGTGTTATTAGGGCAACTTTCTGAGAAAACCGAAACACCAGGAAGAAACATGTAACTTTATGAACTGGACATCCCCAATGTTTTTTTTTAATTAAAGCGATACAATTTTTCTGTCAGTTCAAAATATCAACAATGTTATATTTCAAGAGCAATTACTACTGCTAAGACATGCATTCTTCAGCTGAACAATTGAATTGGAACTGTTGGGAAAATTTCATGAATTTTGAGTTGTTTAAGCCTTTTGTTTGGATATCAAATCATACTAACGATTTTGATAGATTGGTTACCGCCACTTAACCATTTCCCCTCGTTGGTGGATTTGAGTTGCAACCAATATTGTTTTCCCGTGGAAGAACCTATAGAAAAGTGAAAGGAAGCCAACTCACCCTCTTTGGAATGTCTTTAAGGAAGGATCAAACGATTCTACTCGCTCAGAAAGGAAGTGTGAGTCACCAAAATTTTTGCTCAGATTCGTAATATTATAACTACCAAAAAAAATTACCATTTCAATTCGGTTTTCAGATTTCAGAAGTTTATTACATTTTCTTCAGAATCATGAATTCGAAAAAAGATAAATAGGGAGAACAAATATTTCACAGGGCGATGAATGGCGCACTGCAAAGTTGCATCGAATTTGGAGTGATCCCATTCCGTTCAAAAATGATCCATCTGGTTTTCTCATCTCGTATGAGTTTGATGTCATTTCTCGAAACGTTTTTTATTTTTATTGATTGATTACACTCTGTTCAGTTAATATGATTGGTTTTTCTAAAATGTCACAGAAATATTGTGTTTCATTTCTAAAACTCTTCACAAGAACATTTTCACGGATATGTGACCCATAGAAAATTAAAACCACTTGAGACTAGATAGATAGATAGATAGATAGATAGATAGATAGATAGATAGATAGATAGATAGATAGATAGATAGATAGATAGATTTTATTAATCCTTTGTGCTACAATATGTATAGATAGGACAATAAGTCACACATAATTCACCTAATTCACCTATCAATAC